GATTGTGAAAACAATCCATGTTCCTTTTATTGGGGTCAAAGAGCATGCAAAATAGTGGGAGCTAAATAATTAAAAGTCCATATTATTTAGTTAACTAGATGTGATCATAGGAATTAATATATGATTTTAATTCTGTTCTATTTGAACTTCTTCAGGCTTTTAGGAATGTCGAATTTATCATTGAGAAGTATCTTGGATACATGCAAGCTTACTGGACCAAACTTTCTGGACTGGGAAAGAAATGTGCGTTTAGTTCTTAGACAAGAAAATATTGAGTATGTGTTAGACACACCGGTACCCAAGATTCCTGATGCCAACTCTCCTGAGTTTGCCACGTTTGACCTGACTGCTCGAGAGAAACACGTCACTGATGCTAAAACTGTGCAATGTGTTATGTTGGCTGCAATGTCTATGGAGTTGCAAAGGCAACACGATAGGATGAGCGCCTTCGAGATGCTTGAACACTTGAAAAGTCTGTTTGATTCAGAAAGTCAGACTCTAGAGTATGAACTTCTGACAGACATTTTCAAGTGTAGGCTTCAAGAGGGTGGCAACGTGTCTGAGCACATCCTCAAAATGATTGGCTTATTTGAAAGAGTTGCTACCACCGGAATTAAGTTTGAGGATCGTGTCTCAGCTGCTATCATCCTATATTCGCTTCCGAGTTCATTTACTAACTTCATTGTGAATTATAATTTGAACAAAACGAAAGCGACCATGCCTGAACTCCATAACATGCTCAAGTCTTATGAAGCCTCAACCTCTAAAGGAAAGACTGTTCTTATGGTAAGCTCTAATGCTAAGTCTCGTTGTAAGAACAAGAATAAGCAAAAGAAGAAAGGTAAGGTTGGACCTACTCCTACAGCTCTGAAGCCTAAAGGTGGAGGTCATATGAAGCCAAAGGTTGCAAAGGATGTTTGCCTCTACTGCAAAGAGAAGGGGCATTGAAAGAGAGATTGTGAGTTGTATAAGGCTAATCTAGCCAAAGCACCGGGTGCTTCAAGCTAAGGTATTTTTATCATTAAATAAATATGTCTATAACTAACTCTCATTGTTAAAGTATTAGATACAAATTATGGCTTACACATTTGTAAAAATGTGCAGAAGCCTGAGAAGCAGTGTAGCAGTTGGACTGGGTAATATTGACCTACGCGTGAAAGCTGGAGCAAAAGTTGCTGCTGAACGTGATAGGATCTTATAGTTTAGATTTGCCCAGTGGCTTTAGATTAGAATTAAATAATAATTATTTTATTCCTTCTATTACCAAGAAGATTATTTCCATTCAAATGTTAGACATTAAAAGATTTCTGTTTCCATTTTGACAATAATAATTGTTATTTTCGTAAAATGGTGTTGTTGTGGAAATGTTTTTCTTATGAATGGTTAATTATCAATCGACATATTAGATATTAAATGAATAAAATAAAAGGATCTCGATTAAGTAATCAGAAAAATTACTACCTATCTATGACATTGCAAACTTGGTCAAATTAATGAAACAAGAATAGCAACGTTAAATAAATTAGATTATTTAACAACATTTGCTTTTGAGTCATATGGAAATTGTGATTCTTGTCTTTCAAGTAACTTGACTAATAAACCTTTTCTAGGAAAAAGGATAGCAAGCCAAAGAGTACTTAAGTAAAATTTCTGATTTACTTAAAAGGTCAAAGAATTCGGTCATAATGAACTCCTCCAGAACACCTTAGAAGTCTGGCATTTCTGCAAGGAGAAATAGGGCTTTGTTAGACATGGCTAGATCTACGATGAATTCATTTTCTCTTCCAAACATTCTTTTGAGGGTACACGCTATAAATCTCAATATGCACTCTGAATAGTTTGATTAGTGCAAAATGTACTATATGAGTTATAGTATAATAAAAGACATTTTCTTCACATATTAAATATGGGTTTCCCTACATATGTAAAGAAATGTGCACTAATCAAATTGAAAGGTGAAGTAACATAGAAAATGAAGATTCGTTAGATGATCTGACTAAGGATTCAGTGGGAGAATTAAGTTGAAGAATGCCTCTAGGAGGATATCCTTCAGCTAGTGGGAGTAATATAGGAAGCGTTTCGCACCAGCAAGTGATTCTTATGAAGAAAGTAATGGCATGGTTGTCATTCCTTCTGCACCTAACTCTCCCTCTATGAGTATAGCACCAGAAAACTCTCTGAGCATTGGATAGTCCAATAAAAGAGAACCTCTTCACGATCAGATTGAAGAGCCTGAACAAAATGCAAAACATTCAATTCTGTGGGTCTACTAGGATTCGTCATGTACTAACTAGGTTTGGCTTCCTCATGGAGGATCATGATGATGTTAAGATTCCTGATACGGATGAACCTGAGACCTACATAGAAGCAATATTAGATGTTGATTCATAGAGGTGTATCAATCATAGAGGTGGCGAGAAGCCATAAAATCTAAGATGGACTCAATGTGTATCAATCAAGTATGGAACTTGGTTGACTTGCCTATTGGGGTTGGACCCATTGGATGCAACTGATTTTCAAGAAGAAAATTAGTGCTGAAGGCAAGGTGCAAACATACTAAGCTAGGCTAGAGGCTAAAGGTTATAATCAAAGAAAAGGAATTGACTATAATGATACCTGTTTGCCAGTTGCAAAACTGAAGTCCATTTGGATTTTGCTTGTTATAGCTGCATAATATGATTATGAGATTTGACAAATAGATTTCAAAACCCCTTTCCTTAATGGAAACCTCGAGGAGGAGGTGTATATGGTACAACCTGAAGGTTTTTTTATCCAAGTCAAATTCTAATTCAATATGTTAATTGGAGAAATCTATTTATGGGCTAAAACAAGCCTCCAGGAGTTGAAATATTATTTTTGATGAAATAGTCAAATCATTTGACCTCATCAAATGAAATGAGTGTGCTTGTGTGTTTAGAGTGCGCAACAAGGATAGCGTGGTCTTTAAAATCATATATGTTGATCATAGAGAATGATATCTCCTCATTGAAGTCCGTGAAATAATGGTCACCCAAAATCTTCATGAATATCTTTTGTCAATGGTAGACAGAAAGAACTAGTAGAATTTAATTATTCTAGCACTAGTTTCATGTATGATAAGAAAGACTACGAGTCACAGTCAGTATATGTTTTTAGTCTTAATGTAATAGTAATGCTGCAAGAGTTGCAAGTAAGAAACTATTGTAAATTCGACAACTAGAGCCTAGTAAATTGTTGCATTTTATGCAACATAGGTAAGAGTTTAGATACGTTAGTTCCTTAAAGAAATAGGGGTAGTTCCTAGCGACAGTTATCCAATAATTGTTATTGTGACTGTACCGATGCATTTGCACAAGCTAAGGAACCAAGATGCAAAGTAAGGAACTAGAAAATACCAGTATGCTATCATGTTTTGATAAAAAATAGAAAGATAAGAAGTTGCAATAGAATGCCTTTCCATAGAGGAAAATTTGGCAGGCTCATTCACCAAACCTTTGAGATGCGAGAAACATTGTAGGCTTTTGAGTGTCTAGGTGTTAGACGCATCGGTGATTGACACTAGGCCAAGTGGGAGATTGTTAGTATATATGTCCTAGCGACAATCACTTTTTAGAGATATATGTACTTGATCACATTCAGTTTTATATATTTGATATATACGGTATTACACATTAATGATTAAGTATTTCGATTGTCAATATCTTATTCATAATCGTGTTCCCTTGGACTTATGTTGTCAATAAGTAAGTGAGAGCTTATATGATATAACATAAAGTCCTAAAATAGCCCCAATCAGCAATCAATGATCATCAAGAATGAGATATTGATGATATGCGATAAGATTGGTATGTGGACTGCATCATACTTTTAGAAAGTATAGTTGATCTCACAACTATGAGTTCATGTAATTCATGATGGTCACATGGATATTTTAGAGAATATTGGCATACCCACCGAGAAACCATTTGATAAGTTCTATTCATGTGTCTATGGGATTATCGGCGTATAGAGTAGTGTAATAGTCCTCCGACTTGAGGTCAATACGTACTACCTGTGCGGAGTGATGTACTTTGACCATGACCAACGCTTGCACTCCAATCGGGGTAGATACGACATGTGTTGGGTGCATCACGAAGCACATGGAGTAGTAGTTGAGCCAAGAAAGGATTCATTCCTCGTAATAGATTAAGAGAGAACATTCTACTTCTCATATCTAGATGGATCATAAAGTCATTGGCCAATGCAAAGATATATTCATTTTGGATAACGAATATGATCGTTATGGATCATCTAAAAAGATTGAGAGACAGAAACTAAGTTATTGGAATAGACACAATATCACGTTCTAGACTTAGTTGAATGTTCGCTGAATGAAAGGACCATATCACTATGAGCTCTATATTACAGGGAGTTTGAATAGTCCTCGCAAACGTCCTTGTATATTAAGTTTGTCTGGAGAATCGTCTAGGGATTCGCTAAGACCTTAATTTGATTAATGCTTAATATATAAGGCCCTATGAGTCACACAAGAAGTGATTATACCTTTTGGTTGAATTATTAGAAGGAATTAAATATTTATTGGATTAAATAATATTTAATTCGTAATACTGAAAATGAATTAAATATTAATTAGATTAAACATATTTAATTCATGAAGTTGAAGGAGAGTTCTATTTGATAGAATTAATTAAGTCTTATAAATTAGATTTATTATACTTATTAAGATGTATTTATAATCAAATAAAGTTGATATATTTGGTACACTTTTATTTCAAAGTAAAGCCAAAATATTATAAAATACAAACATGGTAAGGTGTGAATTAAGATGTGGCGTGCAGCCCATCTAATTCAACCTTAATGTTTGACATTTTATTTGTTTCCTTTATTTAATTGCACATTAATAATTATTGGACCTAGTTGGACTAGAATTCATTAATTATGGAGACTTCCATTGTGATTGGGAAACTAGTTTAGAACTAGTATAAATACACCCTTCTCCTTCATAATTATATTAGATCAGTTTTCCAGATTCAGTATTACCTGTTTAATTACCTGCGAAGAGATTTCCTAGCATTTCTCTATGGGAGATCTAACCGTTCTTTCGGAAAGGAGAAATCACGTGGATACCTAAGGTCAAGGATTATCACTGCTAGGCTGGAAGATCTGTAAGTTCTAACTCAAATCTGTTATTATTATCATATTCGTTGTTTTGTCATAATCAGGGAAGATCTGTTTGGGAAAATTTTAAACTTCTGCTGCTGTAATTTTGAGGTACGTTACATCAATTTCTTAACATATACGTCGCTAGAACTCTATCAAGCAAACGCGGATTACGGGGATCTTATTAAGCTCACAGAAGAGATGTTGAGCGGTATGCTTCCTCAAACCAATTTAGGATGTGTGTATTTATTAATGTCCTTACAGCCATACCAGTACGGGGGGATTATCCAATGCCATACCGGTACCGGTTTCAGAGACATAGATTTTGAGCCTCCTTTCAGGTCCTCCAATTCAGTCTATTCTACTACCACTGTTTATAGATTGGATTTTGATGTGTACCTATGAATTCACAATCTAAGATAAGTTATAATGATGTTCTTACAGGAGGCTTGAAATGATCGAAGCTCTTGAGGATGGGGCCAAATTGAGCCTCCCTAAAGATCTGGGATCTGAAGAAACAAGAAATTATTTGATTGAGGCATGTCACTTTAATCAAATAATGGTTTCGGGTTAGAGCCCACATAAATACTACTTATTATTCTACCATATTTTATAATTGTGTCATCATTTTTTTCATAAGGGGGCTGATAAGCACAATAATTACCTATATTTTATATAGGTAACTATGATTATCTGTACAAACATTCAAAGATAAAACAAGTAAAAATCCTAATTTGAGAAAAAGTGCACTTAGGCATCAAAAAATGAAGAAACGGGAGTCAACGGGGAAAAGACACCAAGAACTGACACTTCGGGGTCAACAACGGACGTCAAACGGAGTGAAAAGTGGAGAAATGCAAAATTGATCATACCCGGCGTCGGGTAGGCTTGAGGGCCAGCGCCGGCCCATCAATTCACGCGAAAAAACTGGCGAGGCAGTAGCTTACCCGGCACCGGGTAGGCCTTAGGCCCGGCGCTAGGTCCCCCAGTTTTTTAGCCACTTGCTGCGGATAACACATAACCGGCGCCAGGTAGGTCTGAGGCCGGCACCGGGTTGATCTGATTATGCAAAAACAAAGAGACGTGCAACCTATTCTTGATAGGAAAAACCTACCTTCCTTATGATCTGAGCAAATATTTCATCCATGCCTAATTGTTGGGTTCGAATAGACTGAAAGATGTCAATCTTTAGCCTATATAAAGCCCTCAATTCATCAAATAAGATCATCATTCCATCTTTGGAGCTAAAAATTCAGTTTTTATATTTTATTTTTGTATTATCTTGAAGAGTTGGAGAAGAATCCATTTCTTTCATCTACAATTGGTTCTAGGTAATTTTTCTTGTATGTTATTTTATTTCCTTAGTCTTAGTTACACTTTTGTAATTAATATGAGCATTAGTAGCTAAATTCTTAGCTAAGGTTAGAGATGAACTTCTATGCCCACTAGGTGTTTGATAAAAGTTCTAAACCAATAAATTGTGATTTATCCTTTATATATTGATTGTTTATGACTATGGTGTACAACATAGAAGTATGTTAAATTTAGTTTATACTTGCAATTAACGTTGAAGTCTAAACTATGAAGATTAAAGGATTAACATATATAGTACCGAGAATATATAGAAATATTTCCGGTCTTATATGATACGGGTGTGATGTCTTGATATTCAACGGGGTTTTCGGTAGATGAATGTAAGTCGTAACGGGACTTACACATAACGAAAACCACGCTCTCGCTGCCTTAACCGGAGTTGAGAATATATTAGCGACATCGTATTCATAATTATTAGCAAAGAGCTAATATTTAACCCTATTAAAGCATTTAAGTGATTCCCGAAGCCTTAGTTGTTGTTATTATTCATCTTAAACTCACAAATTAGTTAACAATTATCTTCTTGAACAAAAAAAGTGAAAAACCAAAAATATAAAACACAAATCGAAATCCCTGCACTTTACTCATTTCTTCATTTAAAGTTATCTACTCTCGGACTTGAATTAAACAACGTTTCCTTGTGGATTCGACCCGGTATTTTACCGGAATTTATTACTATATCGGCACTTGTACACTTGCAAGTTTAGCCCGGTCAGGGGCCCACGCCATGATTATGGATCCGTTTGCCTCTTATCGCATGTTAAGATTTGGGGTTCCATCCTAAAAGGTCAACCTGATAGGAGGAGTAACTTAGATCTTAATATAGTATTTTATTGCTTCATGATTTTCCGGTGTGGAAAGCCCTCGGTGATCTGAATAAGGAGCGGTTTGTGGCACTTTTGAGAACGTTGAATTGCGAGTCCAAACACGTGCTAAACAACCGTCACGAGTTGATCCCGAAGGAGGACAGAACAGTGAAACACGTTCTTGACTCCCTCCTCCCTTACAACAGTCCGCAGCGGCGCGCCATTTGTTATAAACAGTGTTGCCTATAAGCCCAAACGGGGCAATCTTATCATCAAGTACCCTGGCACCCAGCCCAGAAAGATCCTGTCTTTTGTGGGAATGCAGATGGATGTTGTCATTGCCAATCCTTCCGTTTGGGATTTCGATCCCTTTTCCTTGAGCATCAATGGCGATAAACTTGGTCGATAGGGAATAACTGATTGTTTCGGCGATGTTGCTCTGATACCATATCAAGATCTCGGTTTCCATCCTAAAAGGCCAACCTAAAAGGAGGAGTAGACCAAGATCTTAATATAGTGTTTGATTGATTTAAGATATCCGGTGTGGGACGACATATATGCAAAATATGTTTTAATAATAAAACAAAACATCATATGAAGAATAGCTAAAATAGTTTTTTAGCAATTCAATCAATTTTGTCAGTCAAGCGTAATCAATTGGGTGATGTTTTTTTTTGTACGTTATGTTGGAAAATAGTAGTATTTCAAATGAACAAAATGTTATGTTCTTGAATTATTTATCACACACTAATATATTAATAAATATTTATACATATTATACATAGTAAATTATAACTATAATGAAAATGGAGAAAGTTTTGAACGTTTCAAGCTAGGCTTGATCCTATTGTGATTATTAATTGAAATAAACATGCTTTAATGCACATTTTCCATTGAGCTCTAATAAAAAACCGTTACAAGCTATTGATTTTTTGATTAATATGCATTAATGAACCTTTTGTATTCTCCTTCATTTTAAAACCGTTGCAAGTTGCTAACTTTAATTATTATCAAAGTTATATTTACTCCCTAACATTTCATTCTTTTCATTGGAGTTTTATGTATATATATATATACATGCTTGCATGGAGCTAGTAGGAGTGTGGAATGAGCTTTAGCTTCAAAATTCATTTGTTCTTGTTTTTAAAGATAAAGAAAATATTACTCTTCATATTTAGTAGCTAGCAAATAATATTTTCTGCCCTATTACTCTGCTGGATTAATATATTTATTCTACTCTCGTTGTTCTGTTACCGGCTTACGCCGAAGAGCTCGTTTTATCTTGGGGAATGGTTTTCGCTAGTCGGAAATACTTTCTTGAGGACAGCGTTTACGCGACTCGAGCTATATTATTTTCTAACGCATTTTTTGCAGGTTTATCCGGCCAATTCCATCAACAATCTCAAGAAAGTAGTTGGCGTCGGATATGCCAGCACACATGATCTTACAAGCTGTCGCACTCATCGCGGCTATGTTATCTTTGCACGTGTGTTGTGATTTAGACTGGTATTTGGATATATCTCTACGTATAATGATTACTCTCTTCACTTTCCTACTTACAATAAGCCATACTTTAACACCATTTTTTAAGAGAAAAGTTATTCTTTTATTTAGTGGTAAAATGACAACTATGAAAAACAAAAACCCACCAAAATCAAGTTTAAACTTGGTTTGTAGTGAAGATAATTTCATTGCGGTTGTTTCTCAAAGTTGTAAAACTAATGATGTGAATGAGTGGGTGGTAGACTCCGGGGCTACCAAGCATATTTGTAAAAACAAAAATGCTTTTACCTCCTATACTATTATAGGAGATGGTGAAGAGCTCGTGTACCTAGCGGACTCTAAAACCGTTAAGGTGCATGGAAAAGGGAAAGTTCTTCTGAAGCTCACATCGGGGAAAACTTTATCACTAAATGATGTGTTGCATGTGCCCGAGATTCGGACTAATTTGGTTTCTGTTTCCCTCTTGGGAAAAGTTGGGGTTAAAGTTTCTTTTGGTTGTGACAATTTTGTTATGACAAAAAAAATGATGTTCTTGTGAGAAATGGCTATTGTAAGAATGGATTTTTTATGCCTAGTATTTTTGAAAGTCGCATGATGATGCTTCTGCGTACTAACGGTTGGTTAATTATTGTGTTATGTGATATAATAGATTTGATGTTTTACATGCATTTTAAGTTGATCTTTATTTTTGTTTGTTATATGAAACTCCTAAACATCCTAAGAGTGATACAGAAGCACCTCTAGAAAATTGTGATACAATTGATGAATTTATATAAATTTTATTAGAGCATCTACACTGTGGTTAGAGGTGGTAAAAGTTCATTGTCATATTTATTGGTGATTTTTCAAGATAAACTAAATTTTATCTTATTTAAATATAAAAGGAGAGTTTTTGATAAATTCAATGTGTACAAATAAAGGTTGAGATATAAATTATCTCTCTATGAATTCTAGAAGGGCTATGCACCTGTTTTTAAATATTTAAAATTGTGGGGGTGCTTAGCTATATTCTTATTCCTATCTCATTGAGTGAAAATGAGCTTTATAACTCTTGGCTATTTTTGCATAAATTGAAATAGTGGAGCATATATATTATTTTCATAAATGAAAGAAATAGTGTGCTAATGTGCAATGTTTTATGATATATTATTGAAGTTATTAATGTGACCGTTTTTGGAGAATGTGTACACACTAAATGATGCATGTGATTATTTTTTTATACGCCGATGAAACAAAAATGCTGATTTTTTTTTGAGAATGTGTTTCCTTTGAAAATTGAACACAAGACCATTCAACCCTCTAGTGATAGTAATCCATTAAAAGAAAATTAATCTTTTAATGATGAAATTTTTGAATTATTCACAAACTTTTTATTCATCAAATGGATATTAGAATTGCATTTTTAAATGGTGAACTAGAGGAAGAAGAAATTTATATGATGCAACCGGAAGGTCATGTGGTTAGTGGTCAGGAAAACAAAGTGTGTATACACTAAATGTAAAAATGGTGTGTGCATTATAATTTGCTTTTATGTGGATGATATGTTAATTTTTAGTGTGGAAGACTTGGGGGTAACAAAAATGATTTTGGGTATATATGAAAGTCACAAGGAAGGATATGATGTTATACTATCTCAAGAGCATTATGCTGATAGACTTCTAAAGAGGTTTGGACATTTTAATGTCACACCCGTGGGTATCCCTTATGAATTTCATATGCACTCAAAAAAAAAAGAGGTGATCGTGAGGCTCAATATGAGTATTCCCAAATTATTGGATGTTTATTATATTTTATAAATTTTACTAGGTCCGACATAGTTTGTGTTGTCGGAAGATTGAGCCGATATACTCATCACCCAAGTAGGGATCATTGAATTGCGTTAAGGCGATTATTGATATATTTGAGAGGTACCATTATTTATGGTATTTTTTATTGAGATTATCCGTTGTAATATATTGATACAACGATGATATGTTTTATTGAAAAATATCCATTGTTCTAGAGCGATACAATGATGTTATATGAAAATTATCCATTGTACTATAATGATACAATGATGGTATATATTTTATTGAGAATTATCCGATGTACTAGAGGGTCACATCGATGTTATATTTTATTAAGAATTATCCTTTGTATTGCCGGGATACAACAACGACATCTGAGTATACTCACATGAGATAAATTAAAATAGTGGATATCCATTCACCCTTAAAAGGGGTGCAATGATGTTTGAGAATGGAATTATTTCCATTAATTTTATGAAGTCAGAAGGAATTAGCTACTCCTTTGACAGAATCCCTAGGACGAAAAATGATAACCGAAACATCGAAGGAAATGGGACTAGTGTCACTTTGAAACGAATGGGGATGGGAACCCAACTTGTGTGATTGGAGATTCCATGAAGCAAGTTCAAATGGGTAATAACAAGTCTTCCATTTAGTTCTGCTAGCCTAACTAAAATTCCCCATTTCCATTATGTGAGATATATGCTAGAAACCGCATTCTTTGAGAGGGTGAGCTAAAAGCTCTTAATGATTATCATAGCCCTTAATTTTAGGGTGGTGTGCAAAAGCGGTACACACTTGATGATGTCACCTATATGAGTGTGAGGTGGGGCCGCCTCCATGAAGCATGACAAAACTTCTAGAGCACTCATAAACACCAAGCACGCGCATGGCCTTACGGCGCACAACGGCGTAATAACGAGAAATTGTGCGGGATGAGACACGACCGTTAAGACCCTGATTTACCAATAGTAGCTTGTTGGTTCAAGAAACTATACGTTTCACCAAAATCTCTGTTTATTAAGATTTAATCGTCTCGGTTTGGTTCATAGTCTACGGACACCAAACTTAAAATCTCATTCCTTTAATCCAGCAGAAATTTTCTAAACTATTTTCCAAAATGTAAAATTATTCATTTGAAATATGTGGGGGATTGTTGGAAAATAGTAGTATTTCAAATGAATAAAATGTTATGTTCTTGAATTATTTATCACACACTAATATATTAATAAATATTTATACATATTATACATAGTAAATTATAACTATAATGAAAATGGAGGAAGTTTTGAACGTTTCAAGCTAGGCTTGATCCTATTGTGATTATTAATTGAAATAAACATGCTTTAATGCACATTTTCCATTGAGCTCTAATAAAAAACCGTTACAAGCTATTGATTTTTTGATTAATATGCATTAATGAACCTTTTGTATTCTCCTTCATTTTAAAACCGTTGCAAGTTGCTAACTTTAATTATTATCAAAGTTATATTTACTCCCTAACATTTCATTCTTTTCATTGGAGTTTTATGTATATATATATATATATATATATACATGCTTGCATGGAGCTAGTAGGAGTGTGGAATGAACTTTAGCTTCAAAATTCATTTGTTCTTGTTTTTAAAGATAAAGAAAATATTACTCTTCATATTTAGTAGCTAGCAAATAATATTTTCTGCCCTATTACTCTGTTGGATTAATATATTTATTCTACTCTCGTTGTTCTGTTACCGGCTTACGCCGAAGAGCTCGTTTTATCTTGGGGAAAGGTTTTCGCTAGTCGGAAATACTTTCTTGAGGACAGCGTTTACGCGACTCGAGCTATATTATTTTCTAACGCATTTTTTGCAGGTTTATCCGGCCAATTTCCTCCAACACGTTATACGTGCTTCTCTGAAGAGATTTGGTTTTGGAGTACTCCGTGGAGGTTGGGTGATGTTTTTTTTTTTTTTTGACTCTGACTCTGTCATGCCGTTGTTTTTCTCTTTTTCGTGGGAACTTTGAAGAGTAGGTTGGGTGTTGTTTTTTTCTCGATCATTGTAGGCTCAGTTGTGCCCATTATAGGATCAACGAGCTTCAATGCTTTCGTGAAGGTGGTAAACTCTAAGTCAGGTTCGCGGGTCAGTTATCGTGAAGTGACTCTTTTTCTATTTGTTACTCACCACGATGGAGAATAATATTTATGATGCATTTCTAAGATTTTATGCAAACTTCTAACTATGTTTTATTAATGAGATTTAAATTTAAATTTTGAAGTGTTGATTTTTTATCTGTAGAAACCAGAATTTTAATCTTCTTAATTACTTAATTGCACAAATACAAAGAGTACTACACACACATATTAAGTTATATATGTAGTTTTCGTTTGAAGCCTTGTGGGTAAAGCGTTAATGCTATATTTTTAAGGTTTGAGTTGTCAAAGAAGAAGATTGAATTTCATCTATTATATATGAAAAAATGACACGTGTAGAGTTTACTCGGACAAAAATATAATCAATTATGTTTTTTGGATATAAATATGACTAATAACTGTGTATGAGTTACTGAATAAGAGTCACTATAGTGTATTTCAGAATAAAAAGTCACTGGTAGATGACGAGTCACTGAGAAACTAGTCACTCATATGTCACTGTTTGAAAAATTTTAAAATAAGTCATTGATAGAGTATTTAATTGTTGAGAGAAGTGAGAGCTAAAGAGAGAGTGATAAATTAATATTTCTTAACCCCCTCTAACTACCCCCTAGGGGGCTATTTATAGGAGTAAATGTGGGTTTGGGCTCCTAGGCTTGGGCTTAGGAGGCCCATTACAATAATAAGGCCTCTTTTGGGCATAACAAAGCCTCTTTTGAGTGTAATAAGGCCACTAATGGGCTGGATATATAGTTTATTTAACTAAGTATGGAAATACAATCTGCCGGAACTTCTTGGCCGATGCGGCCACTACATTGTTGGGCCATTAGAAAATACTTCCTATTTGTTTTATATGTGCTAACGAAATTGAATTTCAATTGTCTATTCTTTGGTTGAACTTAAAGATGGTAATCATCTTATTATTATTAGCATGTGATACAATGGTTTGGAGGTCTATTTGAAGGTACCCATAAAGTGGAGGGGGAGGGGCTGGGATAAAGTGGGATAAAAAATCCACTCAATTGAATATTGAACTCGAGACCTCTCATAAAGGAGTGAATCGGCGATCAACTGAGCTGGACCATTTCCTCGATACCATACTTTTGTCTGCATTGACCAATCAAAATATTGTAATTGAATTATTTAAATGAAAATTAAAAGTAATATAATGTCTTGGCCCAATAAAATAAATTATATTGGTACCTTATTTTTTAAACTAGATGAAGTACCCGTGCGATGCACGAGGTATATCTAGAGGGAAGTAACAACCTGTTTGAAATTACATTATATTACAGAGTGTAATGAGCAACTTTTTAAATAAAAAAGGGAAAAGGTCAAATAGTTTCTTCTATTATTTTCATCTCATGACTTAAGTCTCATATACCAAAAAAAAAGTATCATGTACTACATGGGCGGAGGTGGAGGGGTGGCCAACTGAATCCCGGCCCAGCCCAATTTTTAAAATTGCTTATATTTTTAATGTAAAAATTTATGTGTAAAAATTTATCTATAAAAATTCATTGTACCGGCCCAACCCAATTCTTACTCCTGGCTATGCCCCTGATGTACTACTTATCCTTTAATCGGTTTTTGACCTGTAATAGCATGTTTTTTTATTACCAAACTTCAAAAATTTGTTAAAATTCAAAGAATTATATATAGAAAGTGTGGGAAATTTAAGAATGTCAAAGTTTTTTGTTTTTTGGAACTATTTGTATATTCTGCATCTTTTTTAAAGCTTTCACATTTTAATTTTATGTTTTTTACACTTTCACTTTATTTTGTCTTTTTTCAAATTTTATTTTTTATGATAACTTGTTAAAGTTATCTGTCCATTTTTTAAATTAATACAATTTTCTATGTTATGATTATTACTTTTTTTATATTTATATGAATTTTTATAAGATTAGTCAATTGCCTTTTATATTAGAATTATACTATAGCAAGTTAAAATGATTATTAGTAACCATGCTTATGATACTACGTACTGTTTATAGTAACCTTGCTTATGATACTACGTACTTTTTCTAGTATATGGACTTAAGTGATGAATTGAAAAGTGACAACAATAGAAAGTTTTATTTGACAACTTTCCTTTTTTATTTAAAACAATTGCTCATTACTTTTTTCTATTTTAATTTTTTATGATAACTTGTTGAAATTATCTATCCATTTTTTTAATTAATACGATTTTCTATATTATGATTATTAAATTATTTTTAAATGTATATGAGTTTTTATAAGATTAGTCAATTGCTTTTTATATTAACATTGTACTATAGCAAGTTAAAATGACTTGATTGATAGTGCTTCTATAGTAACCATGCTTATGGTACTACGTACTTTTTTTAGTATATGGACTTAAGTGATGTATTGGAAACAATAAAAAGGTTTATTTGACTATTTTCTTTTTTTTTTATTTAAAACAATTGCTCATTACTTTTTCTATTTTATTTTTTATGATAACTTGTTAAAATTATCTATCCATTTTTTAATTAATACGCTTTTTTATATTATGATTATTACACTATTTTTTAAATTTATATGAATTTTTGAAAGATTTGTCAAATGCTTTTTATATTAACATTATGCTATTGCAAGTTAAAATGATTTGATTGACGGTGTTTCTATAGTAAACATGCTTATGTGATACTATATACTTTTTTTCGGTATGAATTTAAGTGATGTATTGAAAACAATAGAAAAGTTTATTCGACTATTTTCCTTTTTTATTTTAAACAATTGCTCATTATGTACTATTAAGTTTCATGCAATGCTTTGACATTTTCTTGTATGCTTTTGTTATTCTCATATATAGAACAATTGGTTGAAGCAATTTTCTATTTTACATTATACTCCCCCATACCAAAATAATTAACCCATTTTCTTTTCGGGTTTTATCAAATTAATTATTCCATTTCATTTTTTTAAATCTACCTTAAAAGAAGCTACACTTTAATAAAGTACACAATGCAAGTATAGTACCAAAAACATCGCATCTTACTTTTTTGTAAAGTCTACAATAATTATCTTAAACTACTTGAAAAACTAAGAGTCCATTTGGTGCTCATGTTTTTTGGCTTATCAAGCTTATCTGCCAACTTTTTCACAAAACACGTAACTTTTTATTTCGAATGCTAAAGCAGTGAATTGTATAATAATAAGAAAAAATATGGTTGTTGTTACTTTTCTGACTATATTGGTTGAAGTTGTTGTAGATGATTATTTTATCTAGATTAATTGGCTTTTACTTGACAAAAATGTGACTAAAACTCATTTTGACAAAAAAGTAATTTTTAGCACTTCTGCATCCCAACCCTAAATTAGCATTTCCTCCCACCCCAAACGTGACGTTGTTGCAACTGTCATGGAGTTCAGCCTATGCCGCCGCCACTGAAGAGTCGCCGCCACCACTAAAGATCCGCCGCCACCGCCACCGTCACCACTGGAGATCCGCCGCCACCGCCACCGCCGCCGTCCCTATGAGAGCCACCACCACTGCCTTGCTTCAATTGTGGTCTCTTGCGCGTTTCAATCGCAGCCCCCTGCGCACTTTAATCTTGTCCTTCATTTTCTGTGCGATTTAGTTGATTTTGATGGTGGCTGGGGGGCAGAGAACATGAAAGGGGTTGTAGCCAGAGGCTAAGGTTCGTTAATGGCGCGGCGCGGCGAAGCTAGGTCGTTGGGGCTAGGGTATTTTAATGGCGCGTCGGAGCTAGGCTGTTGGGGTGACGACGCGGGTAAGGGGCTGTAAAGGTAGTGTTGGGGTGGTGCGATACGGTGGTACGAGGGTGGGGCAGTGCCGGTGGTGCGGTGACCAGTGGTGCTGTGGGGAGTTGTGTGCTGGTGGTGCACTGAAGGTGGTGTCCGGTGAGTAGGGGGTTGCAGTTACGTACTGTGGTGGAATGACTTGACAGTCACTGTGACCGGACTCACTGAGATCGGAGTCACTGAGATCGGAGTCACTGAGACCGGAGTCATTGAGACCGGAGTCACTGAGATAGTGAATGGCGGCGGCGATGCCGGTGACAGCGGCGGTGGTGCCGTTGACGGCGGTGGTGGTGCTGGGGTGGGCGTCCACACAGGTGCTGGAGGCTGCAAAACATGGACTACTAATAAAAAGAATATTAAAATAATAAATGTATGATTAAATACAAGGAATAAATGCCTTTTAGTCACTTTTTAAAAAAAAAATTAAAACAAGTCACATTTTTGTCTATTTCATTCAATTTTGTAATATTGGAATAAAAAGGCCTTTTATTTATTTTTCATAAATTTTTTTCTTTATTTTATTATTAAAAATTATTTAAAATATAATTTGTTCATAAATGAGTAGAATCAACCAATCCAGCCACTTTAGCTAGAAAATCATAAATTTTAGCAGAATCAGCCGATTAAGTCAATTTTGGTTTTACAAAATGGGCTCTAAATGTGATATTTATTTTAATGCAGAGGGAATCTTTTTTAGATGAACTAATTACAGACATCATATGAGTATTGGAAAGTATACATTTGAATTATCGAATTACATATAGGTTTGGTAAGATACATCTTCTTTTTAAGGTTGTCCAAAAAATATGAACATTTTCTCAAATTAAACTTCATTAAGTTTTTTACTTTTGTGCTTTATCACTTTATATATTTACCAATCACGCTTTACATTTTGTGGACCCATTTTGCATTTACTTAATTATTGGGCTGGAGGTTAGAATTGTAAAATAACCACACTATCCTTTATTTTTCTTAAAACCCGCATCAAACCCTCACAAACCATTTTAAAGATAAAGATTAATTTCTCATTATGTTCGTATTTTGAGTAGAAATATTTACTCAAATATTTTGAGTAAAATTATTCAAAGATAAATATTATTTTTATGATTATTATTTTTAAATGTCTATAGCTAATTTTAGTATTACTATATGGAAAAATGTATTTATAGCCAATTATTTTTTCTAATTTTGTTACATTGTTTATACATCTATGATGTGCATGTTTTAGGGTCATACATGTCTACATGGTAAAGTGACCAAGTATACTACCAAGGGAAATTTATCTATATATTACTAAAACTCATGTGAATTCCAATAATATGACTAATCATGTTTTTTTGACCTTGGTATGACTAAAAATACAAACCTTCTAACTGATCGTGGAAATCATTGTTCATTTGAATCATTTCCATATTTTTAGGATGAATTAGTTACTTGATAGAATTGAGGTAACGGTTGAATTAAAAAAAGATTAAGAAAAACAGGAATGACCATGCACCGTATTTAAGTATGATAATAGGAAAAAAACTCAAGGAGTCATATATTGGCAAACATAGGTTCTTTTAGTCATAAGAGGGGTAAATATCTCTACTACCAAATAGCAACAATTTGACGATCATTAATTTGATAAGAACTATTAAAAGTTCGTGGAGAAAAATTTCCATCATGTAAGGCACATATCATATTGATATAAAATCATCTTTCAATATATCATACTTATGGTACGTATGATTAATGGATTTTTTTCCAATTTAATAATTATTGATATCACAACTTTAACAAGCATACATGCATTTTCCTTTTATATGATAAATTTGACATTAACTCCCTATAATGGCTCTAATTTGGGCGGGATTATTCCCTTCAATTGCTGCCCAGACACTGTTACTTTATATTATATAAAAATATTATACTCTCTGTCCCCCTGGTATTGTCCCATTTTCTATATTCACTTGGTGAACACAAATCACTCTTAATCTCTTACTTTATTTATCAATTTTTTATCAAATTTGATTCTGAATTTTGCGACTTCGTAGTAATTGTTATTGTTATTGTTATTGTTATTGTTCTGTTACTGTTATTGTTACTGTTACTGTTACTGTTACTGTTACTGTTACTGTTACTGTTACTGTTACTGTTACTGTTACTGTTACTGTTATTGTTACTGTTATTGTTATTGTTATTGTTATTGTTATTGTTATTGTTATTGTAATTGTTATTGTTATTGTTATTGTTATTGTTATTGTTATTGTTATTGTTATTGTTATTTATTGTTATTGTTATTGTTATTGTTATTGTTATTGTTATTGTTATTGTTATTGTTATTGTTATTGTTATTGTTATTGTTATTGTTATTGTTATTGTTATTGTTATTGTTATTGTTATTGTTATTGTTATTGTTATTGTTATTGTCGTCATCGTCATCATCATCATTTTCATTTGCATTGTTGTAGCAGTATGATAACTTGTACGTACATTCTATGATCTTAAGCTAAATTTTTTAGACCAATTATTTTTTTCAAATTTTAAAAATGGCAAGTACATGTTTCCTATATTCTTATTTGAGCGGCACTTTTACGTTTTTACCAAGTGGGAAACGTAAGTAATAATACATTTATGATAAACAAATTTGGTAAACTTGGTAACTAAACATATTATGCTCAATTGGCTGTTCATGATAATTTTAAATGGTAATAGTATTTTTTACATTTAATAACTCACAACTTGACTAGTTACATATTTGTTATTTTTTGGGCGGGAATTTTCCCTCCAATAATGGTTGTGACACTATTACTTTATATTATATAAAGATTCTATGATCTTAAGCTAAATTTTTTAAACCAATTATTTTTTTCAAATTTTCAAAATGGCAAGTACATGTTTCCTATCTTCTTATTTGAGCGGCACTTTTACGTTTTTACCAAGTGGGAAACGTAAGTAATAATACATTTATGATAAACAAATTTGGTAAACTTGGTAACTAAACATATTATGCTCAATTGGCAGTTCATGATAATTTTAAATGGTAATAGTATTTTTTACATTTAATAACTCACAACTTGACTAGTTACATATTTGTTATTTTTTGGGCGGCAATTTTCCCTCCAATAATGGTTGTGACACTATTACTTTATATTATATAAAAGATATGTACCGACTTCACACCTTATTATAATTATATCAGTTGTATCAAGTCCTCCACATCGTCTAGGGTAAGATTTCGACTTTATAAAATAAAAAAAATTCCCACGTCATTATTTTTTAACATTAACTCACAAATGTACATATCCACCCAATACATTCAAGCATAATTATTTCAAAATACTTCAAGTTTTTCCCCCAATATGATTAAATATATTTTGGAATTTCAAAATAGGACTATGATATTTTTTCTTCCCGAAATAAGAGTTGCATGAAAGTGTTTACTCACATTTTGGAGTCATTACTACCAAAATAATTACTGTAACATTAACACGATACGTAGTATTATTTACTGCATGAATGATTGTTGTTTCAATTATCAGTAATGACTCATTTCTGGGGAAAACATAACAATTCTGTTTTGGAATTTGAGAACGTATTTACTCCTAAGCCATGTTTTTTTTACTCCAGGGGGGTCTGGAGAGCCTAAAGTAATCAAGGCTGAAACTCACTCCATTGAGTTTCAAAGCCTTGTGTGCCTAGCGGGTTTCGAACTCGAAACCTACCACTTGGCACGGTAACCTCACAACCAGCTGGTCTGGAATGCTTGGTTACTCTTAAGCCATGATAAAAAAGATAATATAAGAAGAGATGAATATACATAAAAATGATATAATAAAAAAGATAAAAGAATACTTATATATATAGAGATAAAAGGATAAAAAGCAAGAAAAAGAAGATGGGGGGGGGGGGGGGGGGGGGAGTTGATTAGAGATCATTCCTTCACACGAATACCCGCCCTCTACTTTGCTCTCTCCAAAGCCATACCCTCATCCAATCTAAGAAGAATCATTCACTTTTGACTCCTTTAATCCACACTTGTTTGGGCACTTCTCTTCCCCCATTCCTCGGCTCTTCTCCATACATCTCAACTCGTCTGACAGATGCATCACTCGGTCTTCTTCGCACATGACCAAATCACCACAAACGAAATGCTCACATCTTATATTAAATAGGTGTTACTCCCACCCTTTGTCTTATTGTCACATTTTCCACGCAACCCTTTCTAGTATGTCCACACATCCATGCGTCTTTGCCACACTCATCTTTTGAATGTGACATTCTTTCACCGCCAACACTTTACGCCATACAGTAATGCAGACGCAATTACGCAAATGACGTCCTATAAAATTTACCCTTCAATCTAGTCAGCATACCTCGACCGCATAGAAATCCTGATCCACTCTTCCATTTCATCCATCATGCTGATTCTATGGAATATATCTCCATCTAATTTATTGTCCTTCTAAAATATGGAGCCCAAGTAACGGAACATATTGCTGACTGATATGTCCTTACCATCTAGTGTAATTTCGCTTTTATCACTACTTCTACCTCCACCAAACTTGCACTCTATGTACTATGTATTGCTCCGACGTCTTACTAGAAAGGACTGTGTGAGGAATTAAAAATCAGACAAAGGGTATGAGTAACACCTACTACTATTAAAGGTAAGATGCGAGAGTCTCGCTTGCGGTGATTTGGTCATATGCGTCGAATACCAACTGATGCACCTGTCAGATGAGTTGAGATATGTGGAGAAGAGGCAGGAAATAGAGGTAGAGGAAGGCCCAAACAGACGTAGATTAAAGGAATCAGAAGTGATATGCTTTTTCTTAGGTTGGATGAGAGTATGACTTTGGAGAGAGCAAAATAGAGACGAGTATTCTTGTGCATGAGTAATCTCTTATCATCTTTTCCCCCCATCTTTTTCTTCTTTTCTTTTATCCTTTTATCTTTATCTTTATCTTTATATATATATATATATATATATATATATATATATATATATATATATATATATTATTTTTATTCTTTTTATTATATCATTTTTATGTATATCCATCTCGTTTTATATTATCTTTTTTTATTATCATTAGCTTACCTTTTATCTTTGTTTTCTTTTTTATTCGTATTAGCCGACTCCAAAATTTTTGGAGTTAAAGCTTAAATGTTCTTTTTATATGACAATTTTCCAATAGTGTATTCTTTATTTCTTTTTTCCCCATATCCCATAATGAACTAGTCCCTCCGCTCCCCTAACTTTATCTTGTTTTATCTTTTTCTATCTGTCCCATTAAGTTTGTTACATATCATATTTGATAATATTTGAATGACTATAATTCATTCTTACTTTATTCACACTTTATCAATTTAATATCAATCACAAAATTCTACTTTTTCATAAAAATTACACCACACCTCTTGAGGTAGTAACACTTTTCTCAAATCCGATTAATGGAGACAAGCTAAGAAAGAAGCCCATAGTCTATCTTGAAGCCCACAAAAGTGAAGTTTTCATTGGATTTGAAGTCCGCCTGAGCGATTCTTCATTCTTCCATAGTTCCATGGAGGACAAACACAATTAAAGAAACAGATGGGAAGAGGAAGTGCAAAGGTACAACTTTAACTGCTCCCCTGAAACATCCCTTTCTGCTCTCTACACACTAAAGCCATAGCGAACATTTCCTGAATTTGTACATTGTTTATTCACAATTGACAAAACCTGAAACACAAAATGCAGTTAAGACCCCACCCACCCTTCTCACTGATCAAATTTGGCTCTCCCTCCCCAAGAGCCACCCCCACTCTATCAACTGCGCCCATCCTTACCGCTGTCCTTTTCTTCACTACATATGACAGTATGTTTCATAATTGGGAGAAGATTGACAATTTCTTGATATGCATTATTTGCTTTGATTTAGGCTTTAGACTGACAAGGTTTGGACAATGCTATCCGTGCTTTGCCATAATGCTCCAAATGCAAATAAATGTCTTACCTTTTCAAGTAATGGGACCTTCTTTCATTGGAAAATTGTAACTTCTATTAAGTTATCATGAATGTTTGAAGTAATGGCATATTTTTGGTGAATTCTAGAACCCAATTCATCCAATTCTTATTTTCCCCGCTGGTTTAATTGGAAGAACAGCTTAGGGAATGCAGGCACAATGTACTGTCTGTTTGATATTATTATTGTTTGTAGTTGAATTGGTTATTGGGAGATCAGATTTAGAAACCCTTTTGGAGGTCAAGAAAGGGTTTAAGGAAGACCCTTCAGGGAAAGTCCTTATTTCTTGGGATTCCAAGTCTTTGGCAGCAGATGGATGTCCCCGGAACTGGTATGGGGTCACCTGCAGTGAGGGTCATGTTACTTCAATAGTACTTAATGGTGTTGGTTTAATTGGAATGTTGGATTTTCCCGCCATTAGCAGTCTCAAGATGCTACGAAATCTATCAGTATCTGACAACCAATTGAGAGGTAATGTCACAGTGGAGGTTGGTTTTATTGAATCATTGGAAAATTTGGATCTTTCTCACAATATGTTTAGCGGGTCAATACCCTTGGAATTAACCGATTTAAAGAACCTTGTATCACTCAACTTGTCCATGAATGACATGGAAGGAGATATTCCTTTTGGGGTTGGTAGTCTTGAGCAGTTGCGTTATTTGGATTTGCATTCGAATGCCTTTTTGGGTAATGTGACGGCCCTGTTAGCTCAATTGGGTGGTGTGCTTTTTGTAGACATAAGTGGAAACAAGCTGTTTGGATCATTAGACTTGGAAGCCAGGAAAGGGTATTCCAGCTTTGTGTCTAAGGTGAAGTATTTTAATATTAGCCACAACAACATGAGTGGAGAGCTCTTCCCTCACGGTGGGATGGCATCCTTCGGCAGCTTAGAGGTTTTTGATGCCAGTTATAATATGTTTGCGGGCAACCTCCCGTCCTTTAACTTTGCAGCCTCTCTTCAAATTCTTAGACTCGGAAACAATAAGCTTTCAGGATCACCACCCCAAGGTCTTCTGCAACAGAGTTCAATGATCTTGTCTGAGTTGGATGTAAGCCATAATGAGCTTGAAGGTAAGTGTATTGAACTCAGATACTTTGTAATTTGATTTTGTCAGTTGGCCTAATTTTGCTTAAGAGGAAAGTGAATAGCAAAGACAAAAAATTCCCCCCTCCTTTCCTCACAAATTTCTCCTCTAACCTTTCAAAAAAACAAAACAAATTGCCCCTCTAAAACAAATTGCGTACATCCGACCCCCCTTACCCCACCGTAGGTGGGAAGCCTTTGTGGCACTGGGGTAAATGAAAATGAAATGATATTTTTCCCAAATTAAGTTTCGAATATCTATAAGACATCAATTTCTCATTTTCCACAATTGTCTTAATAATGTAAAAATGACTGAAAGTACTTTGTATGTTTTATTGCATAAATGAGGGCATCATATTATTGTATACCTGAATTGATTTTAGGAGAAGTTGTTGTAACTTTACATGTATATAACAACCTTAAATGTGATGTTGGAGAATGAAGGGGAGGGGGTATTGTTTTCCTATACTATTGGACATGTTGTGTTTATGTGCTATTGTGAAAATATTTCAATTGATTACATTTCTTATACCTAATCTCTTTAATTGATCTGTTGAGTAATAGTAATGACTTTTAACATTACTAGGAGGGGTACTCAAAATCCCTACTCCTTCATCTACCCATTCAATTCATGATTATTATTTTCTTCTAAGTTTGACAAACATGATTCCGGGAAGTGTTACAATCCCTTATAAGGAAATTAAAGATAGTTAATAAGACTTTGGGTCAAACTTGCTAACAAATTCAATTCAATCTTTTAGTGCGTTTTGACCCAATCGCCTTATAGCAAAGTTGAGCCAACCCAACTCAATTCTGATTTTTTCAAGAAGTAGATCACAGTACTTAATGACAATGTGCTATGTGCTTATAACGTTTGCAATAAAAATCCCTTCCTAGGCGTTATACTTCCATTTGTCACCTTTTTCTTTTGGAATTGACCTGCATTAAGACTTTATTTTTCTCTTGACAGGCTCATTAGGAAACATCAATGCTGAAAATCTCAAGCTTCTTAATTTGTCTTCCAACAAGCTTTCGGGCCCGTTGCCTGGCAGCGTAGGGCGTTGTGAAGTTTTAGATTTGAGCAATAATATGTTTTCTGGAAATGTGTCCAGAATCCAAAGTTGGGGAAATAATATTGAAGTTATTATACTGAGTTCCAACCTTTTAGTTGGATCCTTGCCAAACGAAACCTCTCAGTTCTTGAGGCTTTCTTCACTAAAAATCTCTAACAACTCATTAGACGGTCTACTACCAGCCAGTTTATGTACATACCCAGAACTAAAAGTTATTGACTTAAGCATAAACCTTTTAAACGGTTTCCTCCTTCCCTGCCTATTTAATTCCACAAGATTGAGTTATATCCACTTGTCTTCCAACACTTTTAAAGGTACAATACCTATAGAAGCAATGACCCTTCAGAACCCTGCCCTTATAACTCTTGATCTGTCTAAAAATGCACTTTCTGGGCATTTATCTCTCGACTTAATTCGGTTTAGGAACTTAGAAAGTCTCGACCTTTCTAACAACAATTTCGAAGGTGACATTCCTACAAACCTTTCTGACACATTGAAATATATCAATGTTTCTTGTAACAATTTCTCTGGACCTGTTCCCCAAAATCTATTGAGGTTTCCTAACTCAGCATTTCATCCGGGAAATTCTTTACTCGTGTTCCCACATGAAGAAGTTAAACTGAATGGTACTTCATACCTGAGCTCAGCAAGACGGGGTCCGCGCTTGAAATTTGCAGTCATAGCAGCTGTTGTTGCAGGTCTAGTTGGCACCTCCTCTATAGTTGCTTTGCTGATGTACATGGTCATTTGCAAAACCCATCAAGTAGATGGTGGGATGGAGAACTGCGCTAAAGGTATACAGCTCCCAGAAAAGGAAGGGGTGAAGAAAAAGAAATTCGTTCTGATTAAGAGCCTCTTTGGTAGGCTTTATCACAAAACAATAGTTGGCTTATGGGATGATAGTGAAAAAAACTAGTGCATGAGTTACTGTTGGGCTGATTTATCAAAATTTTAGCTCTATTTTAGACATTATTTTCGTTTATACAGAGTGTATTTCAATATTTATTTAAAAATAAGTTTTAGTAAAATAAGTCCTTTTGGCAACAACTTCAACAATTTATAGACTCAGCCACTTTAGTCATTTTCAGCCTTGTCAAATGGACTCTAGTAAGTAGCATTTCAAAGCTGACTTGTTGTAGTTCCCACAGGATCGACATTGTCAGCTGGACCCACAAGTGATCTCAGTGTCCGGGGCTTGCCAGCTCAAACAAGAAAAATTGAAGCGGTTTCTTCTTCTATATCACCTACGAGGATACAATATCCATCAAAAAGCCCAAAACCTCTAAAAGTTTCTTCCCCTGATAAAATAGCGGGATCATTACATTTGTTTGATTGCGCCTCAAAATTCAATGCAGATGACTTGTCTTGTGCTCCTGCACAAGCTATGGGAACAAGTTGTCATGGTACATTATATAAGGCTGTGCTTGAATCAGGCCATGCGTTGGCCGTCAAGTGGTTAAAAGAAGGGATACTGAAAAACAGCAAGGACTTTGCAAGGGAAGTAAAGAAACTGGGAAACATTAGGCATCCCAACATAGTATCCTTTATCGGCTACTACTGGGGCCCTAAGGATCATGAGCGGTTGATCCTATCAAATTATGTTGACTCGCCGTGTTTGGCTCTCTACCTTCATCGTAACTCTCCCACCTTGATACCTTATTTCTTTGTCTTTCAGTTGATTCTTGAATAAAATATCAGTCCTAAAAATAGCCGATTTGATGGAATCCGATATTGCAGTAGGTCATAAAATACATGGACTAAGCAACACTAATATTACCAAATGATGGAATCTGACGAAATCCATTATGATCACTGTATGCTAAAATCATGTTTTTTTAATCCTATTTTTAGTCATATATTTGTTTTTTAATCTAATATTATTATAAGGGTAGTTTTTTTATACAATTTAGGATTGTGATACAGCCCTTCAGTTATGAATTTACGATACAGATTCAATCCGGTGCATTAGTTATATCAACTCATAATATTTTCAGTCCTAAAAAATACTATGCTAGGACTATAATATTATTGTGAAAGACTAAACTTGTCCTAAACAGAAATGACTCAACTAGGTAGTAAGATATTTACGCTAAACCATACTAACAGACTATATGAATTATAATCTATTGGCTAATTCGACCCATGCAATGTCTTCTCAACTTGTCATTTTTTCATTAACTTATGCATGTGAAACTCTAACATGCTTAATGTTTGAACTGGGCAGACAAAAACCCAAGAACGCAAAATGCCTTGTCACTTACGGATCGGCTCAAGATTGCTGTAGATGTTGCCAGGTGTCTATGTTACCTTCACCATGAAATCGCCATACCTCACGGAAACCTAAAATCCACGAATGTCTTGGTTGGAACATCAACCGCCAATACACTCCTCACAGACTATAGCCTCCACAGGATAATGACCTCAGCAGGGACATCTGAGCAGATACTAACTGCTGCTGCACTGGGCTACCGGCCACCTGAGTTTGCAAGCACGAGTAAACCTTGCCCGTCATTAAAGAGTGATGTGTATGCTTTTGGAGTCATCTTGTTGGAGCTGTTGACTGGTAAAAGCGCTTCTGGCATTGTTCCTGGGATGGTGGACTTAACAGAATGGGTGAGATCGTTGGCTGCCCTGAACAGATCACTCGAGTGCTTTGATCCATTTGTGGTGGCAATGAGGAGTGCGGATCATGTGCATGTGGTTCTTGATGCCATGCTGCATGTTGCTCTTAGTTGCATCCTGCCTGCAGATGAACGTCCTGATATGAGGGTGATCTTTGAGGAGCTTTCATCATTATCAGTTGAAGACACCACACTACAGACAGTTAAGTAGGGATGGAACAGCCGAACAGGTCTGGTTCCTGGTCCAACATTTGTGCTACCTGTAACTGAGACTAGAAAAGATAGGTCAACTCCGGTTTTTGTTCCAACTGTTCCCATTCTGGTCCTATAACTTCTATTCCTCACAGGTTTTAGCCTCTTTCAAAATATTGAAACCTTAACTAGTTCAGGGGCTTATTTTGCGGGAGCCTAAACCGGTTTTAGACCAGTTTGTTTCGTCTGGATCCACTGCTAAAAATAAACCAGAAGATTTGACAGCATTTTATTTTTAAGGCAGTTTAGAGATCCTTTGGATTTCTATTGTTCATTATACATTCAATTCAAGGTAATATAGAGAGTTTTTCCTTAATTATAATTGAAATGGAACACATGAACAAGAATGTGATTGGAATTACCATCTGCAGCTATAGACTCCCCCTCCCCCCTCCCCCTCCCCCTCCTCTATTTTTCTGAGATTTGACATTGATTTTTTTTTTCCTCCCATTCTTCTGTTTTTATGGGATTTGATATTGATTTTGCCAAATTTTGAAATTCAGATTTGCTTTTCTGATTTCTTAGTTTTTGAAAGAACTCATATTTTCCAAATGTTTGAATGATGGTTTCAGATTTTGTCAAATTTATAGCCGAAATGTGTACATTGACAATCCTATTATGGTCAAAATGCTTTGTGGAAATCGGTTTTTCTGATTTATCATTAGCTTCATATTTTAAATTTTCGATTGTGTGAAAGTTCTTATTTCATTATTTTTTTTTATTTTTTGAATATTTGGTTATTGACTATGTTTTGCCAAATTTATGACGATTTTGTGTTAAGCTTCCAAGATAAATCTGCCAACTTTATGGCTGATATGAAAAACCTTGTTCATGCCAGATTTGAAATTACTCTTCAAGGTTAAATCTGCCAACTTAATAGCAGATTTATGGTGTAAGAGTTGTGACGGCGGCGACGGTGCACCGGAGACGGCGGAGGATGGTGATGACGGCAGATTGCAGTGCTAGTTGGTTGATGCCACCCGACGGCGATATATGGTCGCACCAGCGAGAAAGCTGCTTATGGTGGCGCCGGTGGGGGTGCGGCAACAGACCATTCCGGTGAGAGCGGTGGCCAATCATTCCAGCAATGGCGGTGGCAGGGATGGTAGCGGCAGTCGTTCAACGAGTTTTGAAAATTTTAGGGTTTCAACAATTTTTTATTTTGCAGTTTTAATTATAAATTGAAATAAAATTTCATTAAGGGCATATTTGTACAAGTTTTAAGTCCAATCAAACATAATTTCAAATGGAAGTCCTATTTAAGGAATAATCTTCTATTTTAGTCCCATTTAGGAATTTCACTCATTATTTTATTAATTTTATTCATTAATTATTAAAAAATATAAATTTTATTAAAGTAGAGCACGGGTAGGATTGGAAAATTACTCCTATTAATTTAAAAGTTATACTCCTATTCTATCAATTTAATTTTCATTTAGTCTTATTTGGGGGGATTTGTCCCAACCATAACACATGAATTTGATGCATTTTTTAAATCACAAGGGTTAATGTGCTGCATTTATATTTCATAAAGAGGTTTGGTGCATTAAACACAATCAAATCATCCTTATGGATAGTTATATCAATTTTAATTATTAAAATTAATATATTTGGAAACTATATTGGAACTTCAATGATGTTGCAAAATTCAAATTCAAATGTAATAAAATATTGATATGCTAAATAAGAAAATAATGTGAAACTATGTTGACAAAAAAAGTTGACTTTGTAAACCATTTTGAGATGGAAGGAATATATATTCCAATATCACTCAGCTATGAAGAACTAGTTTTATATCCTCACTTAAATGAGAGAAAAATAGAGCGTCATTGTTATATGACGTGGATGGTTCCACGATATAAACACCATTTCAACACCCCCACACCCCCTCTATATGAGTCAATCTCACTCTTTCAATCAATCTCTCTCCTTCAGTCAATATCTATCTTTCGGTCGATCTCTCTTTTTCAGTCGATATCTCTCTTGGAAAAAGATCCAGTGAGGGCAGAACCTTTAGACGCTTATAAGGGGGGTAGGTCTTTTTCGATCGGTATCTCTCTTTAGATTTATCTCTCTTTCGGTCGATCCCTCTCTCGATCGAACTCCCTCTCTCAATTGATTGATCAAAGTCTCTCTTTCTCTTAATCGATCGATCAATCACCCTCTATATCTCACTCGATCGATCACTCTCTCAATTCAGTAGAGTGAGGCTACATACTCTGATCATCAAGCTATTCCGTGGAATTTCCTGTCACATACATCAGGTCGTCGAAGTTTCAAACTCTACTTACCTATCAGAGACTCTCCGAAGCCTTTAATTTGTTTTTGTGCTTAGACTCATTTGAAGGTAGCTTAACAAAAACCTCGTCCAGCTATTTTTTATTTGACTTTAAATATTTTTATTGATTAATTTGTCAATAGATGATTCTAAATTGCTAAATTTGTTTGTTTTGAAACACTTGATCGATTTGAAGTATAATTCATAGGGTTTTTAAACTTTTAATTTGTTATCTGCATTGATTTTTCCTTTTTCATTTTCTTATGATGTTATCTCTTGAACTTTAAATACGTGAAAAGTTATAACAAAAATTTGGACAAAATGATGATCTAGAATGCAAAATAAATGAAAAACAGAAAAAATTGGAAAACATATGTTATTTGGTTAAATAAAAATAGTGAAATACGGAGTATAAAACATGAAACCAAACATAACAAATTAGAGAAATAGAAAAACAGTAAGAATTACTTACTTACAATGGCTCACTCATAATACCTAATAAATATCATCTGAGTTTTAAGAAATCCTGGACTTCTATTCAATTCAACCCTTTACCATTTTGCAAAAAATATATATTAAAAAAGCGCATGCTCTAAGTGCATATATATGCCTTTTGAAGCTGGAAATGATATACAGTAAATTAGGTTTAATAATGTCATTAGCGATTGGTCCGTGATTTTGGAGTCAAAATTATCAGCCCTATAACCCCTATTATTACATGGTCAGACGTTCATTTTACTCAAGATTTTTATTTATTTTTTTGGAAAAATTCAAGAAATGATCATAAAAGTGAGGCTAGAGAAAAAACTTTATCTAAAAAAGTTAAATGATGCAATTTTCATTATTAATGCTAAAAACTGCGGGATTACAAATCTTCTTCCAACATGTCCATGCATCCGCTATGTATTCCCTCTAGAAAATATAACATCAATAAAACCAATCTTCTTCCAAGATTATGTATCCCCTCCCTTGACTCATTCTCTTCGATCTTACGGGAGGTTCAATTAATATTTTATTATTTTTTAGTTTAAATTAAAAAAAGATACTTCATTACCCGTGCTTTCTAGCTCATTCACTAGTTCTTTATGTTGTTATTCCAACTTTACTAATGTGTAAGAGCAGAATATTTTGGACCTAAATTCCATTAGTTATTAAATTTGGTTTTCATTTTTGGGATGTTAACAGGTTGGAAAGATGAATGTCAATAAGAAGCAGCTCAAGAGGTCTTCTTCTTCTTCTAGGAAGAAAGACAAGGTGAAGGCTAAGGTAAATAAACTATCTTTTCAGTAGTGTATCTTTGGTTAACTTTGGATTGCACTTCTATTCCATAAAACCATATCATTCATACTTGATAACTTGATACCTCAGACTCTAAGAGTGCTTGGCTGGTGCAGGTTATATAATTAGATGTTTTTAACCATAAGAAAGGTGTTCAAATCCCTTAAAAAGCTGTTAAAATTGTACTCCTTGTTCTTGTCTGAACTCTATTAAGCATTTAAGTGTTTATTATGTGATTATTGCATTTAGATAGGCCATTTAGGTTCCGTTTCAAGTATATCAAACAAATCCAAATCTATCACACACCAATTAATAGTCTCTTCTTCTGTCAATGAAAACTTTTAATATTTTTCTTTTTTCTTCTACTCTTCATTTGGGAACAAAAACACTAATCCAATCAATGTATTTAATTATAGAACATATACTTAAATGTTCCAACTAAGAACACATCATATTTTAAGACTATTGAAAATATACTTAGAATTTTATGTCAATAAACATCTTTTAAAATATTACAACAGCACTCATTTCATACAATCATTTAGAATCTCTTGAATTTTGGATACAATATAATCATTTAAAATTCTTCTTGATTTGAACATCTAATCACACATTCTAAAACCAATTTCATCAACGAAATCAGTTTTTTGGCAGAGAAGTAAATACAAAAAGTTTTTTTCATACCAAGTTTGCTCCTATTTATGAATCACAATTATCCTTACTATTACAAATTCAATACCAAGGATACCATCTCATAGTAATTTCTAATAAGAAACTAGATCATAATAACAACAGAAATAATAATAATAATAGTAATAGTAATAATAATAGTAATAACTATAATAATAACAATAACAACAACAACAACAACAACAATAACAATGATGATGATGATGATGATGATGATGATGACCATAATTATATAAAAGAAGTTTCCTTCAATGAAAATTCTTTATGTTCCATTTGTGCAAGTGTGCAACCTTGAAGCCTTCACATCAGTTTTTTTAACATTGTTGTAAAATGCTTACTGCTTCGGAAATTTGAGCAGGAGCCTAGGGTAATTCGGAGGAAGTACATGCGTGTGGATGAGAATTCAAGTGCAATGATGAGAGCAAAAGACATTCAAGCAAACCTTGCACCAGACATTCCAAGTCTAGTCAGGTTCATGTTGCTTTCGTATGTTACTGGTGGATATTGGATGGTAAGGAGTTGAATTAAATCATTTTTGGCATTATTATGTCAAGCTATATATAATGAGTATCCTTATTATTAGTGCTAAATATATTTGTCTTAATTATAAAATTGTGAAGGGGCTGCCAAAAAAATTCTGCACAACTCATTTGCCAAAGCAGGAAGCTGTGGTTGTTTTGGTGGATGAAGATGATAGAGAGTGGGAGATAAACTACCTGTATTACAGGTGCGGTCTGAGCGGAGGATGGAGAGGCTTCTCTATCTCCCACAATTTAGTTGCTGGAGATGTTTTAGTTTTTCAGCTTGTGCAGCCTTGCAAGTTTCAGGTCACCCATCCTGCCCCCAATGTCTTTCTTTATTTAATTTCCTCTTTATTGTAATAGAGTACAGTTATGTCCATTATGTTCCAATTATCTATACTTAAACATTTCTGTTTTGTGACTCATGCTACCTGTTTCAGGTGTACATTGTCAGAGAATTAGATATGGTCTCAACAGACATTAACTCTGCAGCCATTAGCCTATTAAATTTAAGTCACCAGCCAGCTTCAACTGGTAATATGTCTCCCTTTTTACTTCAATCATTAAAAGATCAGAAAAGCAATGTGCAAATAATGTTTTCTAGTTTTTCTTATTGTTAACGAAAAAACTTAATTTTAATGGGTGCAGAAAACCAGCGGGCGTGCTTGCTACTTACCAGGGAAGGGGAGATTGAAGATGGAGATGAAAACAGTGGCGGTGGACTGAAACTTGCAGAATCTGCTCCAGACTCTCATCAGATGAAAGACTTTGAGAGCTTCCACATCTTCTCCAATGGGTTATTCATTGATTCTGAGATCCCAAAATGCGTGAGGGAGAAGTACTTTCAGCTCTGCTGCGCCCAAAACTTATATCTCCACCAACACCTGATTCAAGGCCTCAACTGCAAGCTCATTGCAGGCATCATCTCTGAGACCATCAATATAGCAGATGCCATTAGAGCTTCGAGGCTCACAGCATACCCGGGTTGTCAGCATCTGGAATCATGGGATGCAACCCTTAAAGGGTTTGAGTGTCTGGGTATGGAAGTCCAGTTCTTGCGTGTGAGGCTTAGGAAGCTCATTAGCATATGCTATGAATCGTCTGAGGTCGCCGCAGCCCAGAGAAGAGAAAGGCGAACAGTTTTAAAAGACGGGCTGAATGATATGAGAAGGAAAGAACTGAAGGCGAAAGAGGAGGTGAGGAATTTGGATGGGGAGATTGAGCTGTATAGCAAGAAAGATAGGGTAGAAATGATGTTTCGAGATGTAGCTATGGCTCCATGGTGATATTTCCTCTCTGTATTGGTTAGGAATGGATAGCTGTGATGCTGTATATCCTGTATTAGGTTTCTGTGTATCATATTGGTATTTAGTGTACATCCCAGCTACATCCTTTTACTTCTGTCAATTTCAGTGCAGGCAGTGTGGTCAATTTAACAGCAGAGCCATAGTTGTGTTCTTATAAAATTACATGCATCCAAGTCCTTTAATATATTCTGCTACTATTTTATCAGTATTGGGTAATTCAGTAACAAGGCTCAAGCAAGTAAAAACTTCTAGCTAATAATTTGATAGATGCTCGTTCCCTTTATCATATTTGAATACTGTACAGACATCCAATATACCTTCATTACATCATACCTGGACAATATGCAACCAATAGGTCAAAAATAAGAAACTGTAGTACTTTTACTAAAAGTTAAGTGGAATTGATTATCAATGTATATGCCTTAATATTAACAACTCAAAGTGCTGAAATAAATAAACATGAACTTCCAAAAATGCAAGGAGAAATTTGAAAGCATGACTACTATATGAGAACTATGTTCTTTTAATGAAATATGAGTACCTTCAAATGATGCTGTCATTACCAAATCTTAATGACAGTGTTAACATAAAATGTTTTACAAAAAATGTTGATCATCAAATGCTCTTAAATGTAGTGGTGGGCACGGTCCATGATGCTACTTAAACCCAACACGAATCGTCTAATTTTCAATTTGAAATGGTCCGATATTGGTACGGGGATGCACCCTAAACGGTTGGTATCATTACGTTTTGAAACGGGACAGAACAATACCATACCATACTCAAAAACAGCAAGGACTTTGCAAGGGAAGTAAAGACATTGGGAAACATTAGGCATCCTAACATAGTATCCTTTATTGACCCGTGCAATGTCTTCTCAAGTTGTCATTTTTTCATTAACTTTTGCATGTGGAACTCTAACATGCTCAATGTTTGAACTGGGCAGACAAAAACCCAAGAAAGCAAAATGCCTTGTCACTTACAGATCGGCTCAAGATTGCTGTAGATGTTACCAGGTGTCTATGTTACCTTCACCATGAAATCTCCATACCTCGTGGAAACCTAAAATCCACGAATGTATTGGTTGCAACATCAACCGCCAACACACTCCTCACAGTAACTGTACGCTTTTGGAGTCATCTTGTTGGAGCTGTTGACTGGTAAAAGCGCTTCTGGCATTGTTCCTGGGATGGTGGACTTAACAGAATGGGTGAGATCGTTGGCTGCCCTGAACAGATCACTCGAGTGCTTTGATCCATTTGTGGTGGCAATGAGGAGTGCGGATCATGTGCATGTGGTTCTTGATGCCATGCTGCATGTTGCTCTTAGTTGCATCCTGCCTGCAGATGAACGTCCTGATATGAGGGTGATCTTTGAGGAGCTTTCATCATTATCAGTTGAAGACACCACACTACAGACAGTTAAGTAGGGATGGAACAGCCGAACAGGTCTGGTTCCTGGTCCAACATTTGTGCTACCTGTAACTGAGACTAGAAAAGATAGGTCAACTCCGGTTTTTGTTCCAACTGTTCCCATTCTGGTCCTATAACTTCTATTCCTCACAGGTTTTAGCCTCTTTCAAAATATTGAAACCTTAACTAGTTCAGGGGCTTATTTTGCGGGAGCCTAAACCGGTTTTAGACCAGTTTGTTTCGTCTGGATCCACTGCTAAAAATAAACCAGAAGATTTGACAGCATTTTATTTTTAAGGCAGTTTAGAGATCCTTTGGATTTCTATTGTTCATTATACATTCAATTCAAGGTAATATAGAGAGTTTTTCCTTAATTATAATTGAAATGGAACACATGAACAAGAATGTGATTGGAATTACCATCTGCAGCTATAGACTCCCCCTCCCCCCTCCCCCTCCCCCTCCTCTATTTTTCTGAGATTTGACATTGATTTTTTTTTTCCTCCCATTCTTCTGTTTTTATGGGATTTGATATTGATTTTGCCAAATTTTGAAATTCAGATTTGCTTTTCTGATTTCTTAGTTTTTGAAAGAACTCATATTTTCCAAATGTTTGAATGATGGTTTCAGATTTTGTCAAATTTATAGCCGAAATGTGTACATTGACAATCCTATTATGGTCAAAATGCTTTGTGGAAATCGGTTTTTCTGATTTATCATTAGCTTCATATTTTAAATTTTCGATTGTGTGAAAGTTCTTATTTCATTATTTTTTTTTATTTTTTGAATATTTGGTTATTGACTATGTTTTGCCAAATTTATGACGATTTTGTGTTAAGCTTCCAAGATAAATCTGCCAACTTTATGGCTGATATGAAAAACCTTGTTCATGCCAGATTTGAAATTACTCTTCAAGGTTAAATCTGCCAACTTAATAGCAGATTTATGGTGTAAGAGTTGTGACGGCGGCGACGGTGCACCGGAGACGGCGGAGGATGGTGATGACGGCAGATTGCAGTGCTAGTTGGTTGATGCCACCCGACGGCGATATATGGTCGCACCAGCGAGAAAGCTGCTTATGGTGGCGCCGGTGGGGGTGCGGCAACAGACCATTCCGGTGAGAGCGGTGGCCAATCATTCCAGCAATGGCGGTGGCAGGGATGGTAGCGGCAGTCGTTCAACGAGTTTTGAAAATTTTAGGGTTTCAACAATTTTTTATTTTGCAGTTTTAATTATAAATTGAAATAAAATTTCATTAAGGGCATATTTGTACAAGTTTTAAGTCCAATCAAACATAATTTCAAATGGAAGTCCTATTTAAGGAATAATCTTCTATTTTAGTCCCATTTAGGAATTTCACTCATTATTTTATTAATTTTATTCATTAATTATTAAAAAATATAAATTTTATTAAAGTAGAGCACGGGTAGGATTGGAAAATTACTCCTATTAATTTAAAAGTTATACTCCTATTCTATCAATTTAATTTTCATTTAGTCTTATTTGGGGGGATTTGTCCCAACCATAACACATGAATTTGATGCATTTTTTAAATCACAAGGGTTAATGTGCTGCATTTATATTTCATAAAGAGGTTTGGTGCATTAAACACAATCAAATCATCCTTATGGATAGTTATATCAATTTTAATTATTAAAATTAATATATTTGGAAACTATATTGGAACTTCAATGATGTTGCAAAATTCAAATTCAAATGTAATAAAATATTGATATGCTAAATAAGAAAATAATGTGAAACTATGTTGACAAAAAAAGTTGACTTTGTAAACCATTTTGAGATGGAAGGAATATATATTCCAATATCACTCAGCTATGAAGAACTAGTTTTATATCCTCACTTAAATGAGAGAAAAATAGAGCGTCATTGTTATATGACGTGGATGGTTCCACGATATAAACACCATTTCAACACCCCCACACCCCCTCTATATGAGTCAATCTCACTCTTTCAATCAATCTCTCTCCTTCAGTCAATATCTATCTTTCGGTCGATCTCTCTTTTTCAGTCGATATCTCTCTTGGAAAAAGATCCAGTGAGGGCAGAACCTTTAGACGCTTATAAGGGGGGTAGGTCTTTTTCGATCGGTATCTCTCTTTAGATTTATCTCTCTTTCGGTCGATCCCTCTCTCGATCGAACTCCCTCTCTCAATTGATTGATCAAAGTCTCTCTTTCTCTTAATCGATCGATCAATCACCCTCTATATCTCACTCGATCGATCACTCTCTCAATTCAGTAGAGTGAGGCTACATACTCTGATCATCAAGCTATTCCGTGGAATTTCCTGTCACATACATCAGGTCGTCGAAGTTTCAAACTCTACTTACCTATCAGAGACTCTCCGAAGCCTTTAATTTGTTTTTGTGCTTAGACTCATTTGAAGGTAGCTTAACAAAAACCTCGTCCAGCTATTTTTTATTTGACTTTAAATATTTTTATTGATTAATTTGTCAATAGATGATTCTAAATTGCTAAATTTGTTTGTTTTGAAACACTTGATCGATTTGAAGTATAATTCATAGGGTTTTTAAACTTTTAATTTGTTATCTGCATTGATTTTTCCTTTTTCATTTTCTTATGATGTTATCTCTTGAACTTTAAATACGTGAAAAGTTATAACAAAAATTTGGACAAAATGATGATCTAGAATGCAAAATAAATGAAAAACAGAAAAAATTGGAAAACATATGTTATTTGGTTAAATAAAAATAGTGAAATACGGAGTATAAAACATGAAACCAAACATAACAAATTAGAGAAATAGAAAAACAGTAAGAATTACTTACTTACAATGGCTCACTCATAATACCTAATAAATATCATCTGAGTTTTAAGAAATCCTGGACTTCTATTCAATTCAACCCTTTACCATTTTGCAAAAAATATATATTAAAAAAGCGCATGCTCTAAGTGCATATATATGCCTTTTGAAGCTGGAAATGATATACAGTAAATTAGGTTTAATAATGTCATTAGCGATTGGTCCGTGATTTTGGAGTCAAAATTATCAGCCCTATAACCCCTATTATTACATGGTCAGACGTTCATTTTACTCAAGATTTTTATTTATTTTTTTGGAAAAATTCAAGAAATGATCATAAAAGTGAGGCTAGAGAAAAAACTTTATCTAAAAAAGTTAAATGATGCAATTTTCATTATTAATGCTAAAAACTGCGGGATTACAAATCTTCTTCCAACATGTCCATGCATCCGCTATGTATTCCCTCTA